AAATTAGTATGTTATTCTGGAAGTATATGAAACAAAGTGAATGCAAATAACAGGTTAGTACTGAGAGCTACTCCTCATGTTATATTTAGATATTTATCTTGTGCATATTATGTACTTATGGAATATACTTTTTGAATTAGAGTTACTATCACTATGAAGACATGTACATAATATTGAGTTCTGTCTCAATTTTATCTTGCCAAGATAATGAATCTCTCATTGGGATAAATAGCCTGTTATTTACAGTATGTACATTTTTACTTAAAGAAGGGATACAAGTTAAGGACAGAACTTAACTGCCTAAGAAAGTCAATGATATACCATGCCTAAAAGATTAATTTGATTTTTTTATCAACTTCAACACATGGTTGCAATTCTAGTCAAATCTTCAATAATTTGCCTTGAACTAACAGTTTTGTAAAATCTCTGTGGTAAACAGGGACTTGAATTAAATTCCTCCTTCTAACTCTATAATATTTATTTATTGGTTTGTTTGCTTGGATTGGACTGGATTACCATTGGTCAAGCAGATATCCCATTTCTGAACCACCCATGTCCCTCAAAGAGGAAATCTTCCAAATTATGTAGTATTTATGTCTGCTTAAAATGATATGTAAGGCTATTTAATTAGCGAAAAACCCAACACAGCATTCAGGCAAGTTAAAATAAATGATATAACTTTAAAAGAAGAACCATGTGGCAAACAATTACCCAGGAAAAAAATTAAATATGTAGTATACCAATAGGTTCACAAAACTACTAAGTGCAGGACTTGCTGAAAAAGCCAGGTTCTGATAGCATTCCTGAAGGTGTATGCAAACCTCTGAGGAAATGCAGTTTCAAGTGATGTGTCAGTATTATGGGACTCCCACAAGATAACATTTCTTCAGTAAGAAAATTGGAGTATGCTGACTCTGTTGGATCATTTGGAACAGACAGACAATTAAAGAGAGGCAGTCCTGCAAATAACCATCAACAACTTTAAACTTAATAACTTGAATTGCCCCCAGAAACTTAAGAGGCAACCAGTGCAGTTTGCACACTTATAGTGCCATAGTGTACCATTGTGTGCCCATAACTACTTCTGCTGCCAGAGTTTGGACAAGATGTAACTTCTGATTTGTCTTCAAGATTAGAATGCATTGTAGTAATATAAACAGTTGGACCATTGGAACACAACTCAAAATGAGATGAGCCATTTTAAAATAATTCTATTTATTTGGTCAGAGTTGCATTGCATGAGAGGGAGGAATCAAATGAAAGCCCATGAACACTCCTTTATGTACATGCTCTAAGCCTGTATTCCTTTATTTTCAGTTTTTAATCCCCTTCCTTAAAAAAAAAAGCAAGAGGCTTTTTGCTTTCATATTTTAATTATATAGAGAATCTTGGATACTTATTTGTGAGCTATAAAAGCTGGCTATACTGCTCCAGTTCAGGATATACAACTCAGTAACGAAACAGCTTGGCAGATCATTTCACATGATGTCTTGGATGAGTTCTTAAAAGGGTGGAGAAGTCAGGGACTGTATTCACGTTGTAAAGAGCCAGATTGGTATAGTAGTTAAGTCACCTGAGTAGAAACTGAGAAACCGTTGAGTCCTGTACTGGTGGAAGAGAATATTTGTCCCTCAGGGTTGAACTGTGGGATCCTTGATGCTCTTCAAGCTTGATTGTTTTCTTGCAGACGTTTCATTACCAAACTAGGTAACATCATCAGTGCTAGAAAGGAGCGCTCTTTTTTTTAATAGTCCTGTCTTAGGCACAAAGCTAGATTGGTGACCTTGGGTCAGACACTCTCAGCCCTAGGAAGGAGGTAATGGCAAAGTATTTCCAAAATCTTGCCAAGAAAACAGAAAGGACTAGTTCAGGCAATCACCAGGAGTCAACATTGATTCAAAAACACACATCCACACATCTTATACAGCAGGGGTGTCAAATTGGCAGCCTGCAGGCCGGATACGTCATGGGCAGGTCATGCCCACCTAGTCAAAAAACGTCACAATACATCATGTGATGTGATCGAATTTGACACTTGTGTTATACAGTATATCCAGTTACTGAGAAGTCAATTAACACAGTTAATGCAGAGGAAATTAACATAGTTGTCTTCTGAATAGAAATGTGTTGGAATGCACCATTTCTATATTAAAATGATATAAAGTTAACTTGGATTCAACATTATCTCTGGATCACATTCCCCTTGAGGCTGTATGGCCTCACCCTGCTATCATTCCAGAATGCCTTAAAACACTTCTGGCAGGGACTGAGTGATTTGTGAATCAATTACAGTGTGATGTGTTTGAAGTTTCTGATTTCCCCAAGTATGATGATTTTATCTTTTAGGATCTATGCTGTGTTAACCTCCTTGTATACTGCCTTGAGTTGATTTGCGATTGGGTGGCCTTAAAAATGGAAAAAAAAAAACCCAAATGATTCATTCCAATATTTGTTTTAAATCCATGCACAATTATAAGCATATTTAAAAACAGAGTATTTTATCATCAACAGTATTACAATTCCTTCAGATTATTAAGAAAGTTGAAATCACTTGTCCTGAAATTTGCACTATTAACTGTTAAATCTGAATTTAATGATTGTGAGATAATATAAAGAGAACTACCTACATTGGGTTGACTAGCTTGTGGCTTGGTGCATTCAGAGATTTCAGCGAGTGTGCTGTTACGTTTCTTATACAAAGCCTGTACAATGCAATGCTAATATCTTAGTATAGTAGGGTGTGATGACTTCTCCAGATACTTCCCCAGATATTTTTCCAGATGTCAGTTCGGAGGAAGATAACCAGTTCCAGGTACGTCGGGAGGGGAGTTAGTCAATGGCTCCAGGCAGCCATCTGAGAGTGATTTGGCAGAAGCACAGCTACAGCGGGACAGCCCTGAGGCTTCAAGTGGAGAAAGCCTACAGCTGCAGCCAGTCAGCGATGAGGAAGAGGAACTGCCTTCAGCACCTGATTCAAGAACACGTAAGGCAGAGAAAAGGCAGGCGCAGCAAAAGTCAGCCAAATTACTCATGAGAAAGTAGCCTCGCCCCTCTTGATGGGCTGCACCCGAAGCTGGCTATTTAGTACAGCAGACAGATGGAGATGCTGCTGGGAACAACATGCTGTGTGTTCTTGCCTTGAACTTTGGATCACGTCTCTTCAGCTGTTTCCTTTGCCTTGCCCTTGCCTGTGGATTTGCTTTGCCTTGGGAACTTGCTTTGGCCTAGTGCAGGGGTCCCCAACCTTGGCAACTTTAAGACTTGTGGACTTCAACTCCCAGAATTCCCCAGCCAGCTTTGCTGGCTGAGGAATTCTGGGAGTTGAAGTCCACAAGTCTTAAAGTTGTCAAGGTTGGGGACCCCTGGCCTAGTGGACTGGACTCACCTTTGCCTTGAGGGCTAGTGTTGGCTTCATTTGAGTAGCCTGTGGAATCATTGGGGTTGAGCTGGCGCGGGGACAGGGAATTGCTGAGGAATACCAATTCAGGCTTGGAAGCCTTAATAAAGACTCCTTACGCCTATGATGTACTGTATGTGTGCATGCATGAGTGGGACAGCACATAGGGTAACCAGAGTAAATAAGTTTCTTGTTACATTATTCCTAAATTAGCATGTTGTGTGAATTGATAATATGTTTTACTATTTCCAGTGTAAATAATTTGGGACCTATCTGGAAATCATTACTTATTTTAGGAGCATGGTAAAACATTACATTGAAGTCAGTATAGGGGTTTTTTTTTGTATAGATTTTATTATTTTTTATAGGGTTAGGAATAAGGTAGGGTCGGGGTTGGGATTTGAATTAGGGTTAGGATTAGAGTTGGGGTTTTTCCAAATAACATTCTCAATATTTAGCAAACAGCATAATGTCTGGGTCCATGTGTTTAACAAACAATAATAGATAATAGATAATAGATAATTATCATAAACAATGTTACTTAATCGCTCAATAGCCTTCTTCTTGCTAACATATATTCAAAGTTACATATCACATTCCTTTCTAAATTGTTTTTCTAGCCATTGATAGAAATTATCCCATGTTCTAAAATACACTGAGTCTTCTTTCTCTTTTATCTTTAAAGTCAATCTATCCATTTCTGCACACTCTAAAATTTTCTTAATTAGTACTTCTTCAGCTGGTAAATTTTCATTTTTCCAATGTTGGGCAAATACAATTCTTGCTGCCATTTGTACGTGTAGTATTAAATATCTGCAATCTTTCTCATAATTTGCTCCTATTATTCCTAACAAAATAATTCTGGCTTAAAGTCTATTGGTTTTTTAGTCATTTTCTCCAACCATAAATGTATTTTAACTTAAAATCTTTTTGCTTTAGGGCATGTCCACCAGATATGATAATAAGTACCTGGTCTTTGTTTGCATTTCCAACAGTTGTTTGAAGTATTTTTAAACATTTTTGCTAATCTCACTGGTGTCATATGCCATCTGTAAAACATTTTATATAAGTTTTCCCATAACTTTTCCCAGTCTTCTAATTTTATATTATATCCAAAGTTCTTTGCCCATTTTATCGTTTCTTTTACTTGTTCTTCCTCCATCTTTAAGTTTAACAGAAATTTATAGAGTTTCTTAATCAACTTTTCACCTGTTTTTAAGAGTATCTGATCAAATTCTGTCTGTTCTTTATAAAACCCCATTGTTTTAATATCTTTTTCATATCTCGTTTGAATTTGCAGGTATGGCCACCATGCTAGATCAATATCTTGTTCCAAGTCAGTATAGTTTTTAATATTGTTTTACTTCAACAATACTTGGACAGCTGCCAATTTATGTCATTTCTCATCATATTATCCTGTACAATAGTGCCACTCTGAACTGTTAACAGTAGTCCTTGCCTTAGATTTTCCATTAAATTTAAAAATAAAATAAAAAAAATACGGAAACCGGGACGGGGATCGAAAAAGCCAGATCTGGGTTGAAAAACCTAGCACCCGCACCTCGGAGCAAGAGGCGGAGAAGGGAAGGAAGGGAAGGGAAGGGGCAGGGCGAAAAGGTCGGCGTCGAGGAAGGCAAGCCGAAGAAAAGGAACCACTGCTTGCTGCCCGAGCGCCCCGCGATGGTCTTAGTGGTGGTCATGGGAGTGAGCGGCTCCGGGAAGTAAGCGCAGCTCTTGGTGGTGGGGGGGGGGAGCGGGGGGAGGAGAGAGAGAGATACGCGGCCGGAAGTACAAAAAAGGCCGCGCTGCTTTTCTCGATGGCAAGGGAGGGAAGTTTGCTTTCGGCAGCTGCGTCGGTCGCTGCAGCCGCGGGGAGCCTTTCCGGCACCTGTTAAGGCGAGCCGGGGCAGAGCGCGTGGGAGGCTCCTCTGGCCTTTAGAAGCCCCCCTCCCTCCTCGGCGAAGGAACTGGGGGGGGGGAAATGCAGGGTGGGTGGTCGTCGCTGCCCTGCGTGAGAAAGGCAGCGAGGGAGGCTTTTGTGGGCGGCGAATCTAACTTCCCCATGTACCCGGGCAGCAAGGTAGAAAGGCGGAAGAAGGCGATCGTGCTTCTTGGTAAAAATGAGGATAAGCAGCACACACACACACACACACACACACACACACACACACACACACACACACACTTCAAGTTATTTCGGGTGTATTAGTCCTGGTAAAATGGAAAAGGCAGATGCGGCTACCTTTGTGTATCTAGTCTTAAATGATACTTGGAACTAACTAGATGATACATCTTGTGACGCTCATTCAGGATAAACAACTGAATGTATTCGAAACGAAGTTGTGGGTGCTCCAGCTCTGGAGGTTTTTGAGAAGAGATTGGACAACCATTTGTCTGAAATGATATGTTTTCCTGCTTGAGCTGGGGGGTTGGTCTAGATTTCTAGAAGACCGCCAAGATCCCTTCCAACTCTGTTGTTTTGATTATTGTATAGGAAAACAAAATGCATCATAATCCCCTATAAGATTATATGTAGGGATCTGAGAAATAACACCTCACTGCTTGATTTGGGGCCACTTTCAGGATGTGTTCCCATGTCTGGGAGATAAATCTAGGTCAGTGTTTCTCAACCTTGACAATTTTAAGGCATGTGGACTTCAACTCCCAGAATTCCATAGCCAGCATTGCTGGCTGTGGAATTCTGGGAGTTGAAGTCCACATGCCTTAAAATGACAGTCAAGGTTGAGAAACACTGATCTAGGTGCTCCGGGACTTGTCTGTTCAAACATTTTTCTGTGTGTGTGGCATGGCATGGTTAACTTTGGCAATATCTGCCTTAATAACAAAAACACCATTGGACTACTGCAAATCATATTCCATCATGGCCAGGAGATGAACCTGTATGTGATGGGCATTGAATTAATAGGACTGAAGATTCATAGGCTGTAAGAGACAAGGTTATAGAATGAACATTAGCATCTCCTTAAACCAAAAGTGTCTTTCCTACACAAAGCCAGGAAAAGATCCATTTGGTTTACACCCCTGCACATTATGAAGCAGGTTTTTTTTGCCTTTGAAGTACTGAACAGATTAGTTTGCCACTGAATTATTTATCGATTATGAATAAAAAGTGGGATAGAAATGCCACAAATATATGTATAAAATACATTTGCATATTTATTTGCAAATATATTATTTGAATCCAGATTCCAGAATAATATGGCACCATTCTCTACTTGTAAATACTCTCTTTAGTACTTAAGCCCAAGCACTTTTGGGAAAAAGAGTGACAGTCATTTCTTTGTTTACAGCCTTGCCATAATTATGCAGTTAACCTTACGAAGAACAGGCATATTGTGACCAAGACATTTACAGCAGGACTAGCAGATGCAGAGAGTATGTTTGGCCTGGGTCTTCATATCTGGTTCTAAAATATTTCACTGAATGAGGTTTACTGATACTTGTGTGGCTCAAACAGCTTTTTTCCCCAAGAGAAGAAGCAGCAGCAGACCATCTGAATAACAGCAATATTGAGTCAGATGAAATCATGTAGTCTTGGTTATTATAGAAATAGCACTTATACTCAGGTCCTTGATCAGTCAGTTATTAGCTATTTGTAATGAAGACGTGTTCATACTGAGAATTCCTACAATTTACTAAAATAGAAAAATACATGGCATGTTATTTATTTTAGCATTTAGCCAATTGAGGTTACAAATACAAGAAATGTTTACAAATAGGCTGAAAAAAACATATAGAAATAATTTATTTTACACTATGTTGACTGCACATCCTTCACATTTATATATACTTAGTCTACATTGTTTAGCGTTCTTTTTTCTAATAGCATTGTTGGAGAATCTTCTGATGTGAAAATGTAATTTTGTATTGCATGAAGAAACTATTATATGGGTGTGTTCACCACCCACACAAACATGTCAAAATTAATCTGGCACCATATTACCAAATATTGCCTTGAAAGAGTGGGCGAACATTCTTACTCAAACTCCCTGTTAAAGTTCTGTTTAATCCAAGTAGCTATATTATATAGGATTACTGTCTAAATATGACTAATTGCTTTTCGATTTTTCAGAATAGAGACAGCCCAAATAGTTACCAAAGAATAGTGCAGAGTATTGAAAGAATAAACTTGCAAAGAGTTATGACTTGTTTCTTTAATGAAGTTGTTAAAGATCACTGTAGTCATCTGCAGCTATTACACTTTGTGTTCTTGGTTATTTATTAATTAAAATTATTCACTTTCCATCATACCCATGGAAGTGTGAGATTTATATACCAAGCACACTTTCATGATGGCTGCGTAGGATGATCCAAAGATGCAGTCATGACATTTTCCATCTGATTATTGGGCAGAACTAGTATTTCATATACATTTCACAATAGGGATAATATCTACGCTAGTTTTTCATACGTGAATTGTTTGCCAAATCCACCATCAGAAATAATCCCTAAGTTAGCATTAAAGTGTCAACTGTGTGGGTACCTGTGTTGGTGACTATCAACTTTTTAACACAGAATTATGTCCGTAATTGCATTTTAAATTGTTATATTTATATCCCATCATCATTTATGCTATCCTCTGTGGCATTAACTCCATCACAGGCTTGAAAATTAATAAGACTGAGAACTGGCTCAGACTTCATGCTAAGTTCTAAAGTATGTGTTCTATTGTGGGGTTGGGAAGTCTTAATTTCACAATTCTTAATTCTAATTCCCCTATTTTTTTAGAGAATCTTTCAAACCATCTTTTTCAGAGAGTATAAAGAGTTGCAGGGAAAAGGGAATCAGAAAAACATTCAATAGGACTGCACATCTGTTTTTTGTTCTTAGAAATATTTAAAATAGTGAAAACTTGTCTTCTCATTTCCTATCCATATAATTTGAAGAAACTAATATATACTATATTAGAAACTAGGAATTCTTTACGTATGAGTGGGCTGTTCAACCAATAAACGATTGTAAAACTTTATCCCTGGAGGTGTTTGGAGGCCACAGGTGGACTACAAACCTGTGTTTTAGATTTAGAAGACCGGATTCATGCAAGATGCTAAATCAAACTAAACCACCTTATCATGATGTGTTTCTCTAGACTTAATGTTTTCTTCTTTGGATGTAGTTTTTACACATAACTTGTTTTATTTTACAGATCCACAGTGGGCTCACTTCTGGCAGATAAGGTAGTTATTTGTAAAATTGTTGATTGTGTATTCACCATTTCTTATAAGTATCTTCGAAGGTATATAAGAACTGTAAGAGCTCAGTAAAATCATAACATCCAAATATGAAATTCTTAAGAGTATTGTTCCGTGACCATTCACACTGTTTATACATTCAAATGTAGCCTTGATTTTTGCACCCATCCTGTTTGTTTGCTTTGACATGCACAGGCAAAAATAGTGACACAACCCATGAATTATATTTCTCTTGACGTTGCAGACAACAGAGTTGTAGCCTAGGTTGATTTTCCATGTCTTCCAGGTCCCAACAGCCATAGCAAATCATCTTGGTAACAAAATGACATTATGCATGTGATTATATAACCATGTAAATACAGGTAGTCCTTGAGCTACAATGGACCCTGCCCATTCCACTCGTAACTCGAAAACTTGTAGAGTGAATCTCGTACCTCAAACAAGATCACTCCCTTGCTCGTTAAAACGCACATGGCTCGTTAACTGAACATGAGGGTGGGGAAGGCCATGGAGGGCCTAGTAATGGAACAGGCCCCCAAGGTCTCCCCAACCCATTAAGATACCTCATGCTTCCCCCTCCTTCCTGCCCTGCCGGACTCACCTGGAAAAGATCCGTCTCCTCTCTCCCGCGATTCTTGCTGCCACCCAGATCTGAGGCCAGGGAACGCTTCTGAGCCCCCTCTCCACAGCCCGATCCGGGCTCCAGAGGCCTTTTCCAGGCCGCTGCCATCGGATCTACAGCCAGGGAATGCTTCCACGTCCCCGCGGCCTGTTCCGGGCTCTGGAGGCCTTTTCCAGGCCGATGGCCGAATCTGCAGTAGAGAACGCTTTCATGCCCACCCCCGTGGCCCGATCTGGGCTCTGGAGGCCTTTTCCAGGCTGCTGCTGCTGCTGCCCAGAAACAGGCCACCGGAGGGCTACATAAGGCATCCGATCCAGGCAGCAGCAGCCTGGAAAAAGCCTCCAACGCCCCGATTCAGCCTATGGAGGCACATGGAAGCGTCCCCCGGCTTCGGTTTCATTCTCTGTTGCAGAAAACAGAAGCCTAAAGTACCACAAGATCAGTAGCATGAGATCTCGTCTCACTGATCTCACGTGATGTTGCGTTACAAATGCACCGAAGGCCTGGAGCAGTCAAGAAAGCGAAGGATCTCGATCTTCGCAGGGTTGAGTATTGAAGGCCTGCTGCCTAGGGAGACCTGGGCGGGGGTGGGGAGGGAGGGAATAACCAGGGTGAATCTTGCAGAGCCACTGCGGTTGCTTATAAGGGCGAACAACTGCTGTGGTGCTGCAAAATTCGTAATTTCGGGACTTGCTTATAAGCACTGCGGAGCGTTCATCACGTAACTTTGAACGAGGATTAAATGAACGCTTGTAACTTGTGGGTTACCTGTACTATACTTCATATGTACATCAAGAGATCAGACACAAGTTACAGCATTTACATGATTATGCCATCACACATACCATCTTTTGCCTCCCTCCCACAGATGCCCATGAAGCACGTTGGTCTTAATTCTTATAATCCCCAAATACCAGTCATGTTGGTTGAGGAATTAAGAAGTTATTCCCAATGTAACTGGATGGTGCAAGGTTATGGAAGGCAGGAAGTACCTGAGACAAGAAAAAATATTGTCATAGTTCTCATATCTATCTATCTATCTATCTATCTATCTATCTATCTATCTATCTATCTATCTATCTATCTATCTATCTATCTATCTATCTATCTATCATCTATCTATCTATCTATCTATCTATCTATCTATCAATAAAATATAGAAAAAACAAACACCAGGATAAAAGTAAAACAAACCTGTTTAATAAAGCAGCTCGGAAGGAGAGACAAAAAAAAGGGGGGGGGAGATCTTAACAGCTGCTCCTTGCAGGATTGGGGAGCGCTACGGGTGAGACAACGGCGGCCGTAGGGGAAGATGACAGCCCTACAGGGTGTTTGAAATGCAGATTGAGAGATTACTCCAAAATGAGAGGGGGGGAGAAATAGGGGGCAGAGACAGCTTGACAGCCGTCCCCCAGACACTCACACGCGCGCTAGAAAAGTAATGGAGGATCTGGGCATAACCACCGGGTCCACCAACAGGCTGCCGCATGTGAATCAACTAATGGGCCGATTACGCGCTCAAGAAGCCGGGAGCAGAGACAGGTAGCTATATAGGCAAGCTCCCTAATCACCTAGCATTCCAATCCTGATGACGTCGGCAGTCAGACCGATGAAAGCTTGGTAACTCTTTTATTTACAAACTTGTTTGTATTAAACAGGTTTGTTTTACTTTTATCCTGGCGTTCGTTTTTTCTATATTTTGTTGATATGTGTATGCCCAGTGGGGATACAGTCTATTAGATATATTTATTTCCTGAATTTACAGACCTTTAATTTTGAGGGAAATCTGGTATTATCAATGTGAATCATATGATATACGATTGCTATAACAATTGCCTTTGCTCTAAAAGCATATTCTATTTTTATTAAAACTAATCCATCATTATGTAGCTAGGTTGGAAATTCTATGAGGGTGATGATTATCATCCAGAGGAGAACAGAAAGAAAATGGCCGAAGGAATACCTCTAACTGATCAGGTATTGTACATAGCCTTGAGGTCACTTTCATCTAATAAACAAAATTGTTAGTGGTGGAGTTGGGAGAAACTTTATTAGCACAAAAACTGAATGATCTGAAGATAACAGATCAGTGAATTAAATACTGTCCTTCAAAGCTATGTCATTTGATATCTCCGTTTCCTCTGTCAGTCCTTCTCTTCTTGCAGAGCATTGTATAAAATAGTTCTAGATCATGGGTATCAAACCCGCCATGTCGTGACTTTTCGCAATGCCGGAGCTGGGGTGGGCGCAGCATCCGCATGATGTAACCGGTCCGCGGGCCGGCAGTTTGACACCCCTGTTCTAGATCTGATTGTAATTCAGCTGGCCTTGAGAGGAGTCTTTTCATCCAGATTCTTCCAAATTGATAATTGGCTAGTCATTCCTTTGCTCCCTCAATAAACTGCATTTAAAAAATCTCAATATTGATCATACATTAAGTACAAAGATTTAATTATTCAACAAGACTCAGAAAACATTGCTAAAAGTTGCAAGAATTAACAAAATACCAGCAGTTTGAACTCTTAATGTTATGCAGTTAATATGCTGCTTGGAGTTACAAGAAAATATGGAAGATATAGCAATGGCCTAGGGAATGGAAATGATTTGTGTTTCAACATCAAAAGAGGCTATTAAACTACTACTAAACATTTGCACCTGTCTCACATGCGCATGCGAGTAAGCCAACAATCGAGATTTCGTATCTAGATTTCAACAATACATGGAATGAGAACTTTAAAGTACAGAATTTGATTTCAGAAGAGGCAGGGGCACTTGAGGTCACATTGCTAACACTGAGCAGATAATGAAAGAGTTCCAAAAATACATCTATTTTTACTTCATTGCTTATTCTAAGGCTTTTCACATGATAGACCAGAACAAATTGTCAATAGCCCTTGAAAACATGGGTGTACCAGGTCACATCATCTGCTTATTAAATAAATTGTACGATGACTTAAGAAAGAAGAGTTAGATGGAATATGGAGCAATTATATACCGTAACATGGTTCAGATTGGGACAGAAGTGCACCAAGATTTATATTTTCACATTATTTAACATATTTATCCTGATACATGCTGAAATAATGAATAGAAATAGAAATTGAAATTGCTGGGGGAAGCCAAACTATGACAGAATGTTGGTGATAGCACTTTGATGGCTCGTACAAAATATGCTTGGTACTATGTGCCACTTATACAGCTGAACTGATGTTTCTCCCTCCCCAAAAAAGAACTATGGATTATTTATACCAAAGGTACTTTTCCACGAGGCCATTGGACTTTGTTTTTTCTTTGAAGACGTTTCACTTCTTGGATGAGAAGCAAAACGTCTTGAAAGGAAAAACAAAGTCCAGTGGCCTCGTGAAAAAAACACCTTCGGGATAACTATGACCTGGATGGCTGAGAATCTTCATAGACTATGAATTACTTCTATATGTGATTTGTTTTCTGTTCCAGTGCAGGCAGCATATGATTTCTTACATATATAAAACTGAAACGATGACTGCTTTCTTTTTTAGTGAATGAATGTATATTCCACCCACCTTGCAACACTGGTAAACTTCAAAATTGTCAGTTATAAAAAAATGTCTAGTGCCATTTAAGTGAAAATGTGATGCTTTCGTAAGCAACTATGAAATCTGAATAAGATAGAGCTAAATTGGATTGTACCAAGAAATGTATTAATCGTTTTGGCTGACTTACCTGATTCATATGAGCAGGGCTTTTTTTCTCGGAGAAAAGGTGGCGGAACTCAAAACTGGCCACGCCCTCATCAAACCCTAGGACCGCCCCTTTAGAGAACAGGAATGCAAGTAAAATTTGGGAGGGGCTATTTCCGGTGTGGGAGGGGCTATTTCCGGTGCGGCCGGCCCGGAAAAAGGTGCCGGAACGCGGTTCCGCCGCGTTCCGGCTGAAAAAAAGCCCTGCATATGAGTCACATGAGATAGGAGGCAGAAATTGCTGCCATAAAGAAAGACCGTATGTTGAAGCTGATATGTAATCTTCACTAGTATAATGATGCTCTGATACACTTTAAAATTTCTGACAGAAAATATTACAAACTGCAAGCTTTTGCAAATGATACAGATTATTTCAGGTGAATCTGCCTCATTTGCTTAAACTGGTCTTTTTCTTTTCTTTTTTTTAGGATAGGATACCATGGCTTTGCCACCTACATGATATATTAATGAGGTAAAAGAATGTTCCCACTGCAACATGAAATTGGTTTTGAGTGGATTCTGTAGATGAGGATGCAGTTCATCTAGCTTTAGTGTCTTGAGTTTGGTGAACAACTTCAAAACTCCCAGCCCTAAATTCTAAGCATAAATGCTAAGAATTAAATATGAACAATTTTGGGGACATGGCTTGGAGTAGAGTAAGATATCCCATACAGAAAGAGATGTCCTAAATCCCTTGAGTAGCACTGTTTCTCCATGATTGTCAGAAGCAAAATACTTGCAAACTTCTATCATATTAAGGTTTGCCGTACATTGATTTTTAATACATTTAAACTTTAATCTGTTCATAACAAAAGTGTAAAGTTAGCTTAGGGACATTTCAGTGTTGGATTAGGATTCGCTGAACATTGTTAATAAGGGATGGATTATAACAGGGGGTTCCAAAAAGGTAGCAACTGAAAAAGTGGGGGAATTATGTGGTTTGTTACAAATTATTTAGCTGCAAACTAATTAAATAAACGGATGAATTGGGATAAAAGTTAAAACACACACAACCACACTTTTTTTTTCTAATGCATAGATATTGTCAAATTCTAATTTTTACAGAGCACATGCATCTGGACAAAATGTCATCTTAGCTTGCTCAGCTCTGAAAAAAGTGTATCGGTGCATTTTGGAGAACGGAGAGGCTGGTTGTCAGAGTTTGAATAATCAACAAGAAGAAAAGGAGTCCACTCAAAGAAAGATCCTTTTTGTCCACCTGGCAGGGCCAATAGAGCTCATTGCCAGCCGTCTAGAAAAAAGAAGTGGACATTTCATGCCACCAAGTCTACTACAGTCTCAGTTTGATACTCTTGAACCGCCACGTGTGCCAGAAAACTTTATCACTGTTAATTTGGAAAAGTCGGTTTCAGAAATAGTATCTGACATTGAAAGACATCTGAGAAGTTTGTACTGATGTTTCTCCAGGTTTTCTTGTTTTGAAGCAGGATAACCCCAAATAAAATGTTGCTCTCACATAATTTATTCTCCTGATTAAGCAACATATTTATGTTTTATTTACTATACTTGTAGCATGAATAGAAAATTAAGCCTGCTTAGTTTTTGATTTATTCATTATCTTATATCTAATTTAAGATTTTTTAAATATCATAATATTGACATTTATTTTAAAAACTGCAGTTGAAAGTTTAAACAAACTCTTGGTGAGCAATCATATATTTCATTTATACTTGCTGAGTGAGAGAAAAGACTGCTGTTGCATTTGGTAAAGTGGAGTATCAGAAAACATAGCAATATCCTTGAACCAGCTGAAAATGTAATTTCATAGTAGTAAAATGCTGCCAAAAAAAGGAGAATTGGAATGTTGAAAGCAACAGGACCTCTTATTCTAGGGTGACTAACGCAAAATCCTACTCTGTATCTGTCTATCCAGCATAAGCATATTCTTTTTACTGGGTGGGGAAGGGGCTACATTTTAATTTGTATTAAAAGGCAAAATCATAACATCAAAACTCACCACTTTTGTCACCTTATTTTATTTTAAATTATGTAGTCACCCATCTCAGCATGACGACTTGGGGAGGCTAACAATGGTTAAAATCCAACATAATAAACACCATAATAAATACACAATTGGCAGCTGAGATAAAACCACAAACACCCCTCAACATCACCACCTCAGGGATTCTCCCACACATTCTGATCCCAAGCCCAGATTCATAGCTACCTCTTCAAAGCCTTGCCAAAGGCCAACAGGATTGAGGATAATTTATGATGTTCCAAACAGCAGGCATAACCACCCAGATACTCTTTCTCAGTCCCACCAGTTGGCACTCATTATTTTGAGGGTCTTGTAGCCTGCAAGCAGCACCTTCGCTTGAGCCTAGAACCATCACTACAGCTTTACAGTAAAAATCGTACCTGCATGACATTAGATTCCTAGTCTGATCTACCTTGAAGGATCTGATAGGAATGAACTCTTCTTCATCCACCCCCACTCCCAATCTCCAACACCGAGAAAACATCCACAGCATCCCTTGGCCAAGAGTAAAGAGATAAAGCCAGGTATATTGCTATTTCATCCTGGGCTTTCAGTTAACCTCACTAGCAGTCTCATGTAAATGTTAGTGGAGAGAGCGCTGAGCTATGAGCTGGCACCATCTAGAACAGTGTTTCTCAACCTTGACAATTTTAAGGCATGTGGACTTCAACTCCCAGAATTCCACAGCCAGCATTGCTGGCTGTGGAATTCTGGGAGTTGAAGTCCACATGCCTTAAAATTGTCAAGGTTGAGAAACACTGATCTAGAATCAGCCCTAGAGGAAGGAGAGCACCAACAGAGCACTGTGCTGCTTACTCCCAACCAGCGAAGTTGACTCAGAAGATTAATTGTGTGGAAAGCCACGGAGATGTTAAAACCAGACCTCTGTGTATAAGGTTCAAGTTCACTGCCTTACTACATTCTGCCTATTCTACAGGAATCTCTGCAGACTGCCAGCCTTAGCCAAGTAACACAAGATTATATGGAGTTTAAAAGGGGGTCAGTTCTGGACCTCTTGCAGCTGCTCAAGGACTTGAGGTTAATTCCATGCTCTAGGTTTCCCCTCTCTCTGGCTGGGAGTTTCTCAGAACAGAGGTCATCTACAAGCCCCATGCAGTTTTACTATCATAGGGCAGGACTCAGACTCTACTCTGAAAGAGCAGCTCCAACTGAATCAGTGGAATATCAGCATCAGGAGACACCAAGTCAGGAATCACCTGAGACTGATCAAACCCAGGCACTACCAGAACAATTAGACAAAATTCTGCCTCCAAGCCCTTGGACTTTGCAAGTCCAAAGACTTTGCCTGGAGAACAGAGCAAAATCACTCAATAAGGGTCCTTGCAAAAAAAAAAAAAAGTGTTACTATCCTAATTACACATAGCTAGTGGCAGCCTGATTTAAGAGGCAGTTGTGAACCATATTATTCTATTGGAAACAATTAACTGATCTCCCGTTCTGTTTTGTCATTCCTGGGAATTCTGGTCGTATAAAATCCTAAAACTCTTGACTTTGGAACTAGGTGACAAATCCGATTTGTCTGAACTCTGGACTGGATTTCAACCTCTTCTGGGTATTCCTGTTGAAAGCAAAAGTACCTAGACAAGCTTCCTTTCCCAGAGACTTTGTTTCACACTCCTTTCCTTGTCTGCTGTTTTATCTACTCAGCCTTGAGTAAATTTCTATTCTCACCTAACAACTGTGCGTGTATGTTTAAAACCTAAAACAGGATACTCGGTCTCATGCCCAGATCTGAATCCCAACTAAAAGATAATAATTTGCTTCTGTTAATCTTCTCTACAAACTTCCCTGAAAACCTTCCCTTTTAAAGAGACAATGACATCACCCCTTCTCTCAAAGAATTCACAATGGTTAAAATCCAATCACACGTCACCTCCCAGGATATAGTTCTAAATATACAGGTGGTTGAGCTAGTGTAGGTAGACTTCAGTTAATATCAATTCATTCCGTTAACATTTGAAGTTATGAAGGCGCTGAATGAGACTTGCAGCCAGTCCTCAAAAGTTGTGGCCATCACAGTGCCCTGCGGTCATGACTGCCATTTGCAACTTTCACTGCTGACTTGACAGTCAATGGGGAAGTGGCAGGTGGCAAATGGCAATTACATGACATTGTGCATAACAACTGGAACTGCTTAACTACTGTTGTAATGGATGCAACCATCAGTGTAATCATAAGACTTTGTACTTTAGGACTCCGTTGCTTAGTGATGGAATTCCTGGTCCCAATTACTATTGTTAATACTTACTCTCCTAAGGCGTGCTTAAGTCATCTTGAAGTACCTAACCATCAGAGGGCCTTTACTCTGGCACACCCACCTCTCATTTGTCCTTGAAGGCCAATTCAAGATGATCCCTACCCAGAGAAACAAGGCCCATGACTCTGGATATGTAGAAATCACAGAACATGCACTTTTCCACTGCCTATTCTACAGGTATTTGTACTAGCCTCTTTTCACCATTATTGCATAAAAAACTAGGGGACACAGGACAATTTTATACCTCCCTGCAAGTCTCAGATACCAAACCTGTCACAACATGTTGTCAAGTTCTGCACAGCCGCACTTAAAATTAATCAGATAACCGTGCCACACACCCTTTTAATGAATATCTAATTTTTTGCTAGAGTGCTTTATATTATATTTAATTTCCTATGTTCCCCTATATCCATTTATTGCTCCTACCTCCATATATATATAATCCAGCGCTACCTGTAGTCAAAAAACCCTACAGGTATTCCTTGACTTATGATTGCAATATAGCCTGTACTGTCATAAGTCATGACAGTTGTAAAATGGGTTATCCATGTGACTGACCTATTTTATGCCAGCCATTAAGCAAGTCCATTGTTTGCTATGAGCCAATTTTTTCTAAAATCAGAAATGCCAGGTTTTGGCAGAAATGCCATAAAACAATCGCGTGACCGTGGGAGGCTGCAAATGGCCATAAATGTGAGCCCATTGCAAAGTGCCCAAAATGCGGCCACGTGACTGCAGTGTGTGAGAGAGATCATTGGAATTGGGTTGTTAAGTACCCCCAGCGAGTATTGTAACATTGACCGGTCATTAAGCAACTTTATCCACTTTATCATACCTAATAAGTTCAAACTCCTCCCAGATAACCAAGCCATTTGAAGCTTCAATCATCCACATAGAATCTGCTTCACAGTCCGAGTTCAACTTGGAATACAGGTGACTTTATGCAACAGATATCCAACAGTACAGCAGATGACCCTTCAACCATGGGTTTTCTAAAACTACTGACATTTCACCACCCTTAGAGCATGATATATAACTGAATTATGATCCACATAATAGAACCCACTTCGTGATGATAGAAAATTTCTGGCATATCTGCCAAAACCAAACAACTTGAGACGCTTTTGTCTTATTCAATGCTTGCTTACTACAACAATATGTTATCACACCAAGAAAAATATACTGCAAGTCAAAACTTCACAATATAATACATGGTGAATTTGTGCTTTATTACCTCCAACAGAAAGAGTGTTGCTCAAAGTAATGGCCCACAGCAAGTGTCATAGCTGTGACTTTTAATTAGAGTAACAGGAGATAAAAGAGACTGGAAATACCAGTTACGACACGTTGTTTTGAAAAAAGGAAACAGGTTAAATAGGTATAGCTAAAAGGGAAAAGGCAGCACTATGTTAACTGAGCCAAATCAACAATTATGGTTTGTGGTTCACATAAATCTAGAATAAACCAGAAAGTTTTGGTCTTAATTCCACAGGTGGCCTGCTATTGGAAGGAAATGACTTTTTTTCTAACCTTTTGTTCCAGATATTGGCAGCTGTAATAATTGTTACAAAGATTATTATATCACAGGATAGATGGAGAATCACAAATGTTACAACTTGTAGTCATAAAGCTACAGCTTTGAAGATGAAATGTTGCTTTTCTGTTAAAATGCATTACTGTAGAATGCTGAGATTATTGAACTCCTTCAAAGATAGCTACCGATGTTATGTTCAAAGCATTGCAGACTTAGACTTACATAAAGTGTGCCCTCTTGTGGTGGAATTATTAGCAAAACATTGTTACTTGATGTATCCCAATGCGGGCATGTTGTTTGAAGATTAGAAACATTCTGAATATGCTTAAAATTATCACGCATTTCCATGATATATTTTATTATGCCATCCGACAAGTTCTTCATATCTGAAAGTATATCAAGCATTAAACAAGTTTAATGTTTTGAGCAAAATTCCGAATGGGAGACCTGTGACCCTCCCCCCCAACTTTCCATTTGAGTAACATCTGGAGATCATGTTCCTCAATACCGCCTCCGCCAATTAACTGTAAACTAATCGAACCTACAAATTCCGAACCAATAGCCCAAAAAAATGGGGGGGATGCTCTATATGAGACAAACCTGCCAATAATTATTCATTTCACACATTCCATTCTACTGTAATAAGATTTGCTTTCCATATGGGAGAAAATTGATTTATTTAGTAAACATGGATAAATGTTGATTGAGGATATATGAATCCAATCTTGTACATCTATATATTATATGATATAATTTATATTGATCACTGAAATAATATATGGAAAGTGTTGTCGTAGTATCTGTACTATGAGGTATGTTTCATTAAATAAATTACAATTGTGGCATTATTAAAAATTGGAGTGGAGACATCAGCCAAGGAAAGAATACACAACTGGAGATGTATTAAAATCAGTATTCAGTTTTGGCCTTTTCTTAACTTTTCATCTATTTTTGTATTAAGACTCCACGATCTACAAAAATGGTGTAAAGACAAAATCTTTTTTCCTTCTAAACCAAACTACAACAGCAAAAAACTACATAGTTGACATCACATCCAACAGTCTCTGGGCAATTGAGGATTCTCCCTGGCAATCAAGGGTATCTCTAAGAGAGTAAAGTAGAATGGTTCCTTCCCTCAAGTCCTGAGCACAACAATAGG